GGGGCTGGCCGCGCCTCCCGCCTCCCGCCGCCGCCCATGAATTATTCACCGCGCCCGCGCAGCCGCCCTGCAGCGGCGCCGATCCCGCCGGGGCCGAGCCTCTGCCTCCCCGCACCCCGGGCTTCACCCGTCCTGCGCCAGCCGGCAGCCTAGGGGTTAACCCCGCACGGGCCCGCGTAACCCTCTCCTGCACAGACAGCCGGGGCTCTGCGCCGAGCCCGCACGCCACGGGTTAACCCTGTCCTGCACACAGCCCAGCACTCTAGGGGTTAACCCTCCTGCACCCACCGCCCAGTCCGCCCAGGATTAACCCTGTGCTGCACACCGCTCAGCGCGCCAAGGGTTAACCCTGCGCTGCACACATGTCCCGGGGCTCCAGGGGTTAACCACCTCCTGCACAAGCCCGGCAAGCTAGGGGTTAACTCTTGCAACCACAGCTGGGCCTGTCTGGGGTTAACCCTGTGCTGCACAGAGCCGGGCAAGCTGGGGGTTAACCACCGCCCCACAGGGATTAACCCTGTCCAGCACCCACAGCCCGGCAGGCCCAGGGTTAACCCTGTCCTGCACAGAACTTGGCACCTAGGGGTTAACCCTGCCCTGCACCCACAGCCCAGGGGGCCCGGGTTAACCCTGTCCTGCACAAACAGCCCGGGCTGCTGGGGATTAACCCTCCCCTGCACAGAGCCTGGCACACTAGTGGTTAACCTGGGTGTGTCTGGCACTGGGGCTGCCCGCAGTGCCCCCCACGGCCCCGGCCGCGGCCACGGGGGTCCTGGAGCTCCGGCCCTGCCCAGGCCCAGGCCCAGCGCCAGGGGCCAGCTCTGGCTCTGCCAGCCAGGGCTCCTCCTCACCCGGCTGCACCGCACTGCACTGCACTGCACCGCACCGCACTGCACTACCCCGCTCAGAATATGGCTGCTGCACCCACCCCGCCCCGCCCGCCTGCCCGCTGCGGCCGGCCCCACCCAAGCCAGTGCTTCCCTGCCCAGGGCCCCGGCCCGATCCTGATCAGCCAGGCTGGGACAGGGCCGGAGGGGCTGAGCCCGAGCGGGGGCCTGGACCGTGGTTGCAGGCGGTGACTCCCGAGGGCCCCTGGGCAAGGTGCAGGCCTGGCACTGCAGGCCCTTCGCCAGCCCCACTGGGAGCCACAGCACAGCCCGTGGGCACGGCCACGGCCACGGAGCGTGTCCCCAGCTCCCTGAAGCTGCAGCATCTGCCGGCCGGCCGTGCCATCATGCGCTTCACGTGACCCAGCCTTTGTGCCATGCCCAGCACAGCTGCTGCCAGCTCCTGGGTGCACGCGCATGTGCATGCGTGTGCGTGTGCGTGGAGGCCTGTCTGGCATAGGGCTCTGTGCACTCACCCCACCCCGTCTGTCCCCCGTGCCTGCCCTGACCTCCCCTCTCGGGGCCCTCGCAGCCGGAGCTGCAGTGCCCGTGCCAGCCAGGCCTGGACAGTGCAGCGCCGGACTCGGCCCTCCCTGGGAAGGCAGGGAGGGGGCCATGGCCAGGCCTGGGGGGGGTCCCGGCTTGGGGTGGCTGCTGCAGGCCTGGGAGCTGCGGGTGACTCAGGCCCCAGGGACGCACCCCAGGGCCTGGGAACGGAGCAGCCGGGGGCTGGCGGGGGCTCGCCCCCAGGGTCAGACTCACCCCAGCCCAAGGGCCTGCTCCAGCCAGGGGTGGAGGCAGGGACAGGCCTGGCCCAGCCGGCACCCCGCAGCCCGGCGCTGTGCACCCCTGTCCTGCCCTGCCCTGCCCTACCCCGGTGCTGGCACTGCTCGCTTGGTTGGAGAGGAAATGACTAAGGGGCTGCGAGCGAGAGATACGGCATGGCGGCACAGGGAGCGCTGTCCGTCCGCCCCACGCAGGCGCAGCCGGTGCCCGTGGCGAGCGCTGCCTCGCCAGACCCTCTGGGTGTTGCCCGTGACCCGGCCACAAGCACAACCACACAGGGACGTGAACCCCCGCGGCCTACGGGGGCTGGACACGGGACACGGACACAGGCGTGGAGTGTATTGTTGGCCCCTGCCCCAGCTGGGCTCTGTCCCCACACCAGGCCCAGCCCTTGCCTCTTCCCTGGCCCGCAGAGCACCACGGCGCTGTCACTGCACGCAGGGACCACCCTGCCCGTCTCCACATCCTGCAGTCAAACACTAGTACCAGGGATGAGCAGGGAAACTGAGGCACAGGGTGCAGCTGGGCTCCCTGCTTCGCCAGGACAGGACCCTCCAGCACCGCACCCGACCCAAGGCAGAGCCTGGCGCCGGGCAGCAGGACCCCGGGACAGGGGCCACCGGTGCATTCAGGGGCATCCCCCCTGCATTCAGGGGCATCCCCCCTGCCCCCCTGCAGCGCGGTGCCCCCCAGGGCTGCCCCATAGCCCTCGCACCCCATTCACCGCCCCGGGGCCTGCCTTGCCGGTGCAGCAGACATGCGCCAGTGAGTGCAGCAGTGCTGCAGCTCCCAGCCCCCTGCACCCCACGGCCTGGCCCCGCTGCAGCCCGTCGGGCTTGGATGCAGGCCTGCAGGCTGCCTCGCACCCCATGCTGCCTTGGGGTGGGTGCCAGGGTCTGTGCCAGGGTGCCGCAGCCGGTGGCAGGGCTGGCCCCCAATGCCCCCAGGCTCTCCTACCTGTGTGCGGGCAGCCCCACGCAGGCTTGTCCCCCTGGGCTTCTTGTGGAGCTGCACCTGGGTTGCCCGCAGAGGGACAGAGCTCGGCTTCGTGCCCTTCCTCTTCTTCCTCTGCAGCGAAGACAAATGGGGCTCGTCAGCACCAGCAGAGCCAGCTGGGGCACCCGGCCTGGACCAGGGATGTGCCGGCGGCGTCAGCTCCCCCCAGCCCAGGCCAGCCCGGCCCCATTGCACCCCGGTGCTGGCGGCTGTGTGCAGGGCTCTCTGCAAAGGGGCGCTGTGCCGGGCTCAGCCACTGCAGCCACAATGATGCCCAGTCCCCGAGAGGGAGAAGTGACTTCCCTCATTAAGCGCCGGACAATGGGCCTCTTTCAGGCCGCACTCCGCCCCGCCGGCGTGAGCGGCCCCGAGCCGCCAGAGTCACTCACCACCGGACAAAGGTCCCCGCACACTTGGCACGGGCGGCCTGCTGCCCTCCCCCCACACAGCGCTCGGGGCCTGGGCACGGCACGGCGCTGGCAACGCGGTGCCGGGAGCTGCGACCAGCAGGAAGCAGCAGGTGCGGCAAGGCGGGGCCCAGGACAGGTGCCCGGGGAGGTGGCTGCAGCCAAGCGCGGGACTTACCTCCGAGCCAGGCAGGGACTTCCCAGGGCCCAGCTGCTTCCCTGCAACAGAGCAAACGTGGCGTCTGGGGCTGCACGGCGGCAGGGGAACAGGCTCTGCCGGGGCCCCCGCGGCAGCACCGCCTGCCCAGGACATCCCCCCTGCTGCAGCCGCAAGGCACGGCGAGCGCAGCTCCAGGGACACATGGGTGCGTGTGTGTGGGAGCACGCCTGCAAGCATGCATGTGTGCATGGTGGGGCGTGCCTGTGCCAGGGAGCCCATGTACTGCAGGGGCGCCCACACGGAGTGCCCACATGTGCCTCACGCATGTGCTTGCGTGTACCGGGGGGCCCTGCGAGGCCTCTCCCACCTTCCACCCAGGCCAGCTCTGCCCCGCTCCCCTGGCATGGATTTGGAGTCACCCCCTTGGCTCTGGGCTCCGGCGGCTGCTGTCTCGCAGCGAGTCACGCCGCCCGCACGGTGACAGGCTGGTGCGTGGGAGCAGCACGCAGCAGAGCCCGCAGCTCCCAGCATCCTCCGGGGTCCAGCACCCTGCAGGGCCAGGGCTGGGCCCCCTCCCGGCGCACAGCGCTGCAGACGTGCACCCGCCTGCCCCGGGGCATCCCCCCGCGGCAGAGCACACCCTGGGGCAGGCTCCCAGCGGGCACCCGGAGACGGCATGTCTGCTCACCACGCAGCTGGAAACGACCCACACGAGTGCAGAGCCTGGCACCGCAGCATGGCCCCTCCTCACCCATCCTCTGCCCTGGACGTGGCCCGGTGCGGCGCTGCCACGGGGGCTGCTCCGTGGGCCAAAGGGGTCAGACGGGGGGGCTGAGCATGCAACCCACAGGGCAATGCCTCCAGCTGCAGCGGGGCTGGGGCAGCGCCTGGGGGCTGCAGGGGCAGAGACGCAGCCTGGCCCCTGCACCCCATCGGGGTTCATACCCCACTGCCGCCACACCCGGGGAGGTGTCCATGGGGAAATGCAGAGCCGTGGCCGGGGACACGGGCTGGACCCAGGCTGTGTGCTGGGCTCTGGGAGGGGGGATTGGGGTGGCTGCAGCAAGCCAGGGGCCACGGGGTGATGGGCTGAGCCGGAGGGTTATGGGGCTGGGTAAGGGGGAGCGCGTCCCAGCCTGCGGCCGTGGGCTGCTCCATAAAAGAGTGTCCTGGCCCAGGCCACAGCCCCCCCCACCGGGCCCAATCCTGGCGCTGCTGAGCTCAGGCAGGGCTGGACAGGCAGGCAGAGCAGGACCCACGGGGCTGCCCCTGTGCCCTGCCGCCGGAGACAGAGCCCCCCGCACATGGGGCACAGGCCCCGGACACCTACCTGCGGGCAGCGGGGCCCGGGCCTGAGGGGGCGGGCGGCCCCGCAGCGAGCTGAGCAGGAAGAGGATCCAGACGGCCACAGAGCCCAGCGCCAGCCCCGCCACCCAGGCCACGCGCCGCCACGCCGGC